CGCTTTCTTGTATTAATTCACTGGTAGTCGCTTTTCGTGTCCATTTTACAACACCACTAGTTGAACAATAATGAATGCCCCTGGAAATAAAAGCTGTGCTGATGATTATATCGAAGTATTTGGTTGGGATTATTCGTACTTATTTTTTATTTATAAAAAGTGTTTACAGGGCTGGATGTCCACGAAGGAGTACGAAGATTTGATCAGTGTGCTCCCATTGTCTACCATTGAATATGCGTTTGCTTATGGATCTGGTGCTCTCCAACAGAAAGGTGAAAACAAAAATGAGAAAATGATCGACTTCATACTGTGCACGAACGATCCTGTGAGTTTCCATAAGGAAAATATCAAGAAGAATTCGTCCCACTACAGTCTTTTGAGGTATGCTCGGAATATCTCGCTTTCAAATTTTCATTTCTTTCTAAGATTAGATAATGATTTAAGGTGTATAGGTGCTAAGACCTTGGCTAGATTTCAAACTGGTCTTGCTGCTCGTGTTTACTATAATACACATGTTCACGTTGGAGATCGACGAATGAAATACGGAATTGTATCCACGGAGGATCTCAATCGAGATCTCCTTGATTGGAGATGGATTTACATCGCTGGTCGTCTTCATAAGCCAGTGCTGGATGTGAGGTTTTTTCTTTTTATTTTTTCCAGTGTGTTTTTATTGCTTACCTTAATAGGATTTTGGCGAGCCAAGCTATATGTATGTAGATGAGAGGGGGGAAGACGGGCCGGTTCACGGTTGACTACTTGAACTTTATTCTATGGTCCTGCCACGAATGGCGGAGAGCACAGACATTAGAGAACGGCGCCTGGCTCGGCTCCAAATCCCAAGGAGGAGGTGAGAGCCCTAGGACTAAGCCTTTGAGGGAGGGACTTCGAGGTGGGTGAGCCAACTACAGTGTGGCAAAAGTTTGAATGTGTGAGATCAGTGGTCATGAGCCGCTGATAAGGCGAGAGAGCGCAGACGAGAGATTGAGTTGAGGCGGTTCAAAGAACCGAGTTCAAGTAGTCCACCGATCGAGGTTGGGGCGGCTGTCATGAACTCTGCTCGCCTGTGCCTTCTTGGCGAAAAGGTGAAACCACTAAAGCTAACCAAGGAACCATCAATTAGGGGAAGGTAGCTAGCTCAGGTTGTGTGTATGTGGGTAAAGATGGGAGGGGAGTGGATATAGGGCAGGTCGCTTGACATGCCAGGGAATCTGTGATATTTCATACCTCACCCCTCCCCAACTGAACCGCTACCATGAAAGGGTGAAAAAACATATATTTTGCTGTTTTGTTTTTGATCAAGAGTAGCACTCGCAAGGGCTGAGAGGCAGAGAGGAGTTGAACATGTAATTGACGGAAGAGCTTTGAGAGGTCCTCATTGCGCGCTAAGTTCATACCCAGTCGTACTCTGACTGCAAGGTTATGCATATGGATTTGAAATGAAACTCTTGTGTGGTGCTGTTTGGTGATGTTTCTTACACTTCAATTTTTTGGTGGTGAGACCAACGGAGGCTATCAAAAGCAATCTCGAGGAAAATCGACGATCTGCACTCCAAGCGGCATTACTTCTACTTCCTGATTCGTTCAACATAGAGGACTTGTATCAGAAAATTGTATCTTTATCGTACACCGGAGATTTCCGAATGTACGTCGGTGAAGATAAAGATAAGGTACTTTTCCTACAATTTCGAACTTTCCCTTTTTTCACTGTTTCTTTTTTCGTCTGCGAATGTATGCCAATGGTTGTATTTGAGATCAAAAAAATTGTGCTTGGCTGTATGGAGGAATTATCTGACGTTTATAATCCTTTACTTGCTAACGACTCAAAACTGGTTGTGCAAAACGGGAAAGTGAGTTTCTTTTGTTCTTTTTCTTATAAAAGTTGTAACGTTTCGTCCACTGCTCTAAAAGATTTCATGTCAACATGTCTACGTGCCACTTATTAAGTGTTTCATAGGCATACTGCAAGAATTTTGGGCATTAGGGGTCAACAGTAAAACTCGTATCTATTTTAAAATGTTACGTTGCGATGTCTGCTAAAAAGCATTTTTTAGTACGATCATTTCGTTCGCGGAAATATTGGAGAGGCTTTCAGATTTTGCATCCAAAGAATACTTTCGACTTTTCATG